AGAAGCAAGATCCGGGATGCAGGCAAGATGGCGGCCTAGTGCTGTTAAGCAGTGCAGTAGTGAGCAAGTAAATCATCTGACCTCAGCCTGTGCACGTAATTTGTAAGACAGAGATGCCTCCTTCACAAATTTAAAGGAAGAGGCCATCAGGTATACGAGAGTGCTATAAACGCAGGAATGAAAATTGGTGCCTAGGAGCAGATTTTAAAGGCAATTTCTTCCACATCTTTTTCGTATCACCTGACAAGCTTCTTCATGTACTATGACAGCGGCAGCAGCGGTGAAATGGGCGATATCAAAGAGAGCCCTCTTGAAGCATTTATTTCCAATCCAAAATGGAGCGTTATCTCATGTTTGCTGCAAATCCACGTATTCTTCTCTTCCAGATGACTATAACTGCAAAGCAGAGCTTGCTCTGACATCTGATGGCAGGACAATAGTATGGTACCACCCTTCTGTGGACACTCCATATGAACACACCAGATCTATGCCTCAACCAGATCCTGTCCGTAATACTGAGCAAACACATGATCAAGTGCTGAAAACCAGATTAGAAGAAAATGAAAGTGAATTCCTTGAGCAAGGACTCATGATAGAGCAACTTAGCAAAATGTTCTTCACAACGAAGTATCACTGGTATCCTCGGGGGCAGCATCACAGACGTCGGATGAAACTGAATCCTCCAAAAGACAGACGATATTGAGATTCATGGGAGAATCGAACAGCAGAGTTATCCTGTACTTAGTTTGCCACTGGAAGAAATACACTAATACTATATATGGGAATAGTCAAATAATGAGATGTCTTTTCACAAAAAAAAAAAAAAAAAGCAAGATCCAAGTCCAGATCCACAACCAACCTGGACTGACATCTCTCTCCACTTCTACATGCCTACCCACACACCACCACCAGTCCTACTGGGTTCCTCGGAAGAAGTGGGGTGACGAGGCCAGCAGGCGCTCGGCGCGGGGCCTGTGTGAGTCATTACCGCCAGCAGTGTGCTGCGGCCACGGCTACCTGGCGAAAGCTCCGCAGGCAGCTGTCTCGCTCCAGGAGTGACACTGGGCAACACACAATGTCTAAAGCAGATGTGCTCTGAAGCTCCACACAGGGCACCGCAGCTCCGCAGGACTTGAACTTGCAACCCTGCTGCATAATTTCAGCCATGTTTTGATGACTACTGCACAGCACTCTGGCGCAGACGGTGTGGACAAAGAACAATGCGCACTAAAGCTTGTAGCCACTTCCATCAGATGAGACATTAAAGCACTAGCTTAACAGTTAAGCACTCCCATTCGTTGTATGTTGGCCTCCTTTTTCTTAAAAACTCCTTAGAGAAAAACCATTATTTCTGTATTAATGCTTTATAGCTGCCCGAGACAACTCCTCTTCACTCAGCGTAGCCCCAGCAAACCACAAGGCCGGAGAGCCATGCTTACGCCTATACAAACAATGAAACAGAAGGCCACGTACAAACAACAAAATGTAGAAAAACTACAAGCAAAACTCTCTACAAAAAACTCCAGTCAAAAAATCGGTAAATCTGAGTCATTTATGGAAAAATAGATGCCCCTTGAGCTCACAACGCTAAGTGAAGTAACCAGACACAAGAAGTAGGCATCATGTGCTTTCTCGGACACAAACACCACGAGGTATATAATTTAAGGGAAAATCCAAGTTACAGAAAATAGGAAGGTAGATCTTCTGAAGATACGAAAGAGACTGGGAAAGGGGCAGTACAAAGGGTAAGATGCCACGTGTACGTGGCCCACCTCTCCACACCTATTCACTGTGTTCTACAAATATATACTAATAAAAAAGGGTCTACTATATTTTACAACTACAGCAGCAACCACAGATGCCCAAGTTCCAGCATGACCTGACTTCCCGGTTGTGGGGTGGGGATCAGTGCTGGGGCACTGCTGTGCACCCCCAGAGAATACCTACGATTTCAGAAAGACATGTATAATCTCAAGCTTTAATATCCTGGAAACAAAATACATCTCTTAGTGCTTTAATAAGGTGTTAAGAATGTTCATTAGCATTTTTATAAAAGTAAAAATCAGAAACAAGCTAACTGTCCATCAATTTGGGAATATGAAAGAAATGCAGTTAAAAGAACTAGAGGGATTTACATAACCTCACATGGAGAGATCTAGGACAGGCGGAAGTTTTCGTTTTAAAGGTATAAAATGAGACTCCATTTAAGACAACTGAAAATATTTGTTAGATATGTATGTAGTTATTCACTTAAATACATCACAAAAAATTGAAAATATGCAAGGCCTAAGACAGGTGGCCTTGAACTATGTAGCCCAGGCTGGCCTTGAACTTGAGGCAATTCTGCTTCAGCCTCTCAAGGGTTGAGATTACAGGCATGCACAATTACTTTTATTAATTCAATTATGTACCATATCTTGTGTGCCAGCTATGTGCTCAGTTGGGAACAAGGGAGAGAAGACATCCTCAGGAAGGTGGAAAGGCCAGTGACATAGCTCAGCAGACGAATCGCCTGTCTAGGCAGATAGAGGAACCAGGGCTCCATCGCCGGCACACATGCCACCAAGATTGGGGGTGGCGGCGCGCCTGTAATCCCAGCACTGCAGAGACTGAAAACAGGAGGATCGCTATGAGTCCAAGCTGAGTAGTGAGACCTGTACCAAGTACATTTTCTTTAAAAAGGTGGGAAACTATTATGTCTTCAAACAACTGCTGAGAAGAGAAAGGCACAGCAATGACATAAGGATGGCCTTGACTGACATAAAGGGAGACCCACGGGCCGTGGAGATGGCTCCGTGGAATAAGCACTTTCCTGGCAAGCGCAAGGGCCCGAGTTCAGTCCCCCGTCCTGCAAAATAAATAAATAAATAAATAAATAAATAAATACCCACAAGCTAGATGCTGGTGTTCTAGACAAGGGCCCGTCACACACAGCTGAGTCCCTCACGATGACTGAACGTATGTGGAGGTGATATGCTGTAGGGCAGAGGTTCACATATACACGCTAGGAACCTGAAACAGCTCAGAGGCGGCTGGGGCTGAGAAGCACTCTGGGGAAAGGGCAATGTACTGCTATTTTCACTACAGTCATCAAATCACATGCAATTATCAAAATCCACATAGCACTATACACAAAACTGGACCAAAAAAAACCAAAAAACTGCTGGGGAGATGGCTCCGTGGAATAAGCGCTTTCCTGGCAAGCGTAAGGGCCTGAGTTCAATCCCTGGTTCCGCAAAAAAAAAGGCTGGACCTCCCCTAACATACAAACTGCACTTCAATAAATCTATTATCCAAAAGTAACATTTTTTGCTATTTCAGTCCTATATTCAATGCATTCCACAAGCAGAAAACTGTGCCAGTGTCAATACTCTGCAGCTAATGAATATGCACTTATATATGCGTACGCTTAAAATTTTCTCCATTTCAACTTATAATACATTAAATTGTTTTGGGGGTTTTTTCTGTATTTTAGGGAAGGGTCTACAGGGTGTTCAGGGTCTCACTACTAGATCGGACTCATAGTGATCCGCCTGTTTATAGCTTTCCCAAGAGCTGGGATTACAGGCGTGCGCCACCATGCCCAGTCTCAGTTGCCATCTCAGCGCGCCCCAGGGGCAGGTCTATAATAATCAAACTGTGATGTATGTAATAGACATATATAAAAAAAATCTCTTAAATGTCTCAACAAATTTTAACAGTATAAAGGGTTTTCTGAGACCAAAAAGCTTGGGAACCAGTGCTGTGGGTAGTAGGGAGGCCCTGAAGTATTCTAGGCAAGAACAGGAAAGAATGATGTAGGAAACATAAGAACTTACTACAGTCTCTGGCAAGGACTAGAAAGGCTGATGCTGGGAAAGACAAGACAGAAGCCAGAGCTACGCATCATCTGTAGCTTGTTATAAATCCCAAGGGTTTTCTCGCTCCTGGACTGTCTCTTTGTTGGCATATAAAATTTTACAAACCAATTTCTGTTAACTGCTAATGTAGTTAAGAAATAAAATCAGCTATCAAAGCCTTCCTACAATGCATTACTGATTTTCTGGATTATTCACATTCACTCAGTCGCTACTGGCCTTCTTCAAATGATGCCAATAATTTAAGTTTGACTTTTATATGTTTTAAACTTGACAAGCAGCCTTCTTAAAGAGGTACTATAGCTATTTTACAAGTAACGCAATACTTCATGTTCAATGAGACACATTAGGTAACTATTTAAAAATTTGGTATATAGCTAATACCAAAAGTTTGGTGACACAGTGACGCAGTACCTGTCTGGCAAGTACAAGATCCTGAGTTTGAGTCCCATTTTCAATTGCATCCAGAAGCACAACGATAATCTCAACTTAGCACAGGTTTTTCCATGCAACTTCCACTTGAAGAAAATTAATTTCTAAATACTAGCTCTATAAGTTCCAAATTAGCTTGAGTACTGCTATCTTTCTGTAATCTCATGCCCAGAACTGTTAACAGCCCTTTGGTATACCATAAACATCAAGAAATCATGCTTAAAATTATTATCCTTTAAGCTTTAAAAAAAATAGGGGATGGATGGATGGATGGATGGATGGATGGATGGGTGGATGGATGGATGGATGGATGGATGGATGGGTGGATGGATGGATGGATGGATGGATGGATGGGTGGATGGATGGATGGATGGATGGGTGGATGGATGGAGACTGACCCGTCAATCACGCAATGGAAACAGTATTAGCAGTATGGTCTTCCCGTACATGAAACCTCAACAAGGGTTTTGTAAGCCATTTTGAATGTGTCTGTGTGTTTTACGTGCCACTGTATATTGCTTCTCTACTTGTTTTAAGCAGCCAACTACAATGATTTCTTAGCTCATACCAAACAGATGGAAATCTATCTGAAGAATGTGATTTGTTACCTTTGAAATCATCATCTCTATTTCTATTCCAGAAGTCTGAGAACTCCAGATTCTACCAAAGCACTTCTGTGTTATTAAAATAAAAGTAAAATGAGACCCTTACCTGAAAATACAGTCCTTTTGATTCTAACTTTTCTAAAAATCTTGAAAATCAGGCTGCTGACAGTAGTACAGTTGATTCAAACATGAAATTTCACCTATGGATTGAAAGGGGGAAATAAGTAATTAAATACATGCGTAAGATTGAAACATCAATTTAGGCAAAGATGAATTTTCTGTGTACTGTTAAAGCCAAAAGTTTCTGCAGGAAGCCTGCTTTCTGTGATGCAGGTCCAAATGGAAAACGTGGCAGCTCTTTCCAGCTAACCCTCGGAATCGGCCACAGGCTGGTGAGGTGCTCACAGCTTCAGCTCCAACTCTAGCCCTCCACCTGCCTCCCACCTTAGAGAAATGGAGGAGGGGCAAAGGCTCTTCCACTTCAAAATCAGTCTTTGCCCGAAAAACTTTGACTTATTCTTAAACCACATTTGGATAACCTACCAATTTTTTTAAAACCTGAAATCCAGAATGTAAAAAACAAGAACAAGTAACACAAAGTAAATCTTTAAAACTGTCTGGCTCTGAAGCTATGATTTTTGGATCTGTTACTGTTTGCAGGGCTAGAGATCAAACTCAGGGCTCAAGAATGCTAGAGAAGTGGGGAACTGGGACTTCTACATTTTTTTAGAAAGGCAAAACTAAGCTTTCTCGGGCTCTATGCTGTAGAAGCAATGAGGACGTGAACAGCGGCTTGGGGGCCAGTGACCTGAGCCAGAGCTGAGCGGCTTCCCACCCAAGATGTGCCGGACCACAGACGCTACCTGGGAGCTTTGAGCCACACGGCTGCCAGGATGGAAGGCAAATCCAGTGGCCAGGAACACTGCACCACCGGGACGGAAACGAGCTGGCTGGCGCAGATTTAACTGACGACGACAGCCTCAGGGAGCGAAGGACCACAGTAACAGACTACCGGGCCCAACAAAATCACAGGCCACTGCTGCCCCGCTAACCTGGGACCCTTAAATTAACGGAAGAGTCGAAAATACAAGATAAGAAAGCTCAGACTTAACATAAGGATTCCAAGTGACAAAATACTCAGAAGAAAAGGTCCCGTTTCAGCAGCTCCCAAGCCAACCTGAAAACTCCTCACGTCTCTGGAAGCTTCTTCTCAAAAATGCTAACAAGACTGCTCAGCAGAAACAGGCCCCTCGCTGGCCACCAGAAATTGCAGAGCAGGTGTCTGCAGCTGCTCCCCTGTCCATCCCAGGAGAAAAGCCACTGAGCAGGCAAAGGGAGGAGAAGCCACTCCTGAGACACTCACCCCTAGGGAGCTGTCACATTAAGGAACACCGGAACGCAGAATACGCACACTACGTGTACATCTGCATTTTAGAAAATACCTGTATGGCATAACCATGCATATTACACGCAAATACAGGTCAGAGGCTTTAGGGCTGGATGAGTGATCCCAGCACCCCATTGCCACTGTAACACCCTGTTTTACACATAGAATTGGAATCTCCAGACTATCAGCCCAGAACTCGTACATTTATGCCATTTTCCAATCTACTGTGAAAACTATCTGGAGCATGTTAAAATTAAGTTACACCTCACAGCTGCACATCAAGATCTCATTTAAACATGTGCTGCAAGGGCCAGCCAAATAGCTCTGTGGACTAAAGCACCTGTAAGTAGGCGCAGGGGCTGGGGATTCGATCCCCGGGCCTGCTGTGCCAGTCCCACCCCCAGGACACGCTGAGACAGCAATGGAGACTGGGCGTGGTGGCACAAGCCTATAATCCCAGCTCTTGGGAGGCTGTAAACAGGAGAATCACTACGAGTCCAATCTAGTCGTGAGACCCTGAATACCCCGTAGACCCTTCCCTAAAACATGTGCTGCAAAAGAAAGCAATTTGCACAAAAGATGAGAAGTAAACATCTAGGGCTGGGATGGCGCTCAGGGGCAAAGTACTTCGCCTAGCATGCTTCGGAAAGCTCTGGGTTCAATCCCCAGCACCACAAGCCTCCCGGGTAGCTCCAGCTGAAATACAGTGGGACCACCTGGGTTTCTTCATGCAAGTACAGTCTAATTTTATCCTCAAAAATAAAAAAAAATAAAAAATGCAAATTATAGGTACAAATTATCTCTTTAAAAACAGGTACCATCCAAAACTTGTACCTAGGGCAGGCTAGATAGCTCAGTGGACCAAAGCATCCACTTAGGCAACCATAAGGACCGGGGTTCGATCCCCAGCGCTCCATGCCGGCCTCGCCTGGGACAGGGTGTGGTGGCGCCCACCTGTAATCCCAGGGCTAGGGAGGCCAGAAACAAGAAGCTCACTATCGGTCCAATCTGTGTGGTGAGAGCCTGCAGACCCTGTACTAAATACGTAAAAAAAGAAGTACCTAATAAAAAAGACAGCATGTGATGTCTTCTTGCCCTTGTACCGAAAGTTAAAATGGCAAAAGCAGCCATCCTTTTTTCGCAAATGAAGACTGAGAATATTTTCTAAGTAAGATATTTTGTTGCACTGTAATTAATTTACTGTAATATACTTAACTTCAGAACAGACAAAATAGACACAGTAACACTTCTCCATGGTAGTTTACCTTCTAACTTCAATTTCTGAACATTTCTTCTAAGACAACAGCCTAAGATGATCTTACACCTGTATCCTATTCATTTTCTCGACTTCCAAATGAGAAGTCCACAAATAAGCCTATTTTTGCATGACTGAAAAAAAATGTGCTTATACACGAAACAGGAAGGCTAACTTAAACAGGATAAATTATCTACATGACTTCTTAAAATTTTTCAAATAAAACAGACCTCAAAGCAAATTCATAACTGCTCCCCGAATTATCCCCCAAGAGAGGCTTGTGTGTTCCTTTTCCATTAAGGAAAACATATGACAAACATGAGTCCCAACTTTGCCATTTAGTTAGCTGTGTGACACAGAGCAAGTCACTTAAGCTCTGAACTGAAACAAATAAACAGTTAACTGATTTGATTTCCAAGGTATTCTTTTGTTTTTTAACATCCTTCTAAGACATTACATATAGTGTTTAGCTCCTTAGATCTAAGTCTCAAATGTATCTTTAATCAAAATGATCATCTATAAACTACCTTATGCCCCAGAACTTAAGTGAAATTAAATGAAAAATTAGAACACTGCAGACTTTATCTTCATTAAGTGTCTGTCCTTGTCTGGTGTTTTAGCATCTCCGGAAAAAGGTTAGACTAACAGCTGGCTCCTGCACATCTGGATGACTCAGTGGAAGAAACATCCAACTCTGCCAGATGAAAGATCTCGGCTCCTTCCTCTTCCTTCACTAATCATTTCTCCAGCACCTCGTATTCCAAAACCCAACTTTTTTAGTCATAGTGTTGACAATAAACCTGCGTATCCATTTTTATCATTTAATACTCCACGTTAATGACTGTTCTTCTGAATCTGAGTTTCCTGCTTAAAGCCAAATTAAGAGGCTCCAGAAAGCTGTACACAACAATTCATACAATTTGTATTCTGTATATACCAACTGATTATTCTGCCATTCCCAGTAAGTCTATAGTCACTAGGGCTGAGAATTGGTCATTTTACTAGTAGAGATCCTAAAAAGCAGCTATTTTTGCCACACTGTTCATACATTTATTTAATGCTATTTAATAGGTACTATTCCTTATTCATGCTCTGGTTACACAACTGACAAAAGTCTACTTTCATGGAACTTGTATTCTAGTAGAAAAGACACATTAGTAACCTGTATTATTAATAAACAGACAAATTATATGGAGAATATATGTGCAAAAATGTTAGGAAGGGACATGTGCCACTGAAAAGCTAAGGGTCATGCCAGCTGGTGGCAGGCCACTGTACTCCCAGCTACTCAGGAGGCTGAGGCAAGAGGCTCACTTGAGCTTAGAAGACGGCAACACAGTGACATCTGGCAAAGAGAAAAGAAAAAGGGGGGAGAAAAGGAGAGATGAAGGACAGGTTAGCTGCAAGCTTGTGTGGACTACAGCCAGAGCTAAGACTCGCAAAGGCATGAAGAAGATGCAGTGAGCCAGACTGAGGCTCTCCTAATCATTCTTAGCTGGTGGTGACTACGCAAGCAGCGATGAGTGCCTGAGCGAAGACGCTGTGTCAGAGCAAATTATGGCCAGCCAAGAAGAGTAAACAAAGGAGGGCTGTGTGTAGCCCCCTTCATTTTTACTGATTATTTTACCAAGTGAAACTTCAAATCTTTAATTAGGCATGCTTAATGCATTCTGCCCTCAGTGTTGTTTTGAAAAAAATTCTTCTGCAACTCATTTTCCTCAAAATTCAAGAACAGATGTCCCAGTGTTCATGCCACACACAAAAAAGCACCAATGTCATCCAACTAAAAACTTCACAAGACCCTACTACCGCAGGACTCACATCTCCAGCAGGGACTCCAGCAGGCACTTAAGCTTCCTGCCAATGTGAAGACAACTCTGCTCCCCACCACTATGGCTGAGGAGAGAAAGACTAGGCTGGGAAACAAGGAGGCCTTCTCCCCAGTAGTTATCGCTGTGAGCGAATCACCAGGCTCCTTGAGCCTGGCTTTCTAAACTGTAAAGTCTTGGTACTGATGACATGATTTCTAAGTCCCCTCTAGAACTAACTCAATTTTAGAAAAAAATTTAGAAAAATAGCCATGTAAGTTAATAATGACATTACTCTTTATAACTCTGCTAACCCAGATCACAGATTCATACTGACTCTCCCAAAGTCAGTAATCAGTTTACTCCAACTCACTAAAAATCCTCAACTCAATCTGATCAAAATAAATTGACAAGAATGGAACCTGCATTGCAGTGGAGTCCACCAGGGACAAAAGACAGAGAATCTCTCCTGTCTTTGGCTTTATTATCAATACACTCTTGCTAACTTACCAGGATCCTTAAATAATGCAACCATTAAAATACTCTTTATTTACAAGTGTAAAAGCTCATTTCCTAAAAGTCACTTATAACCTGACATTATTCACTTCTATTAAATAATGTACAGTACCAAAATTACTATACTATTCTAAATAGCACCTATCAGATAATCTGTCGTTCACAGATTCCAGAATTATCTTCATCCCATTTTCACCTCAACTTCCTCCTGTGGAAAGCTCACCTTCCCAATAT